TTTTTTTTTTTTTTTTTTTTTTTTGCTGGGACCATCCGCACGCACGGGCAACACAAGGTGACCCGGGCGGCCCGGCTGGTAGCCTAGGTTTCTAGGTATTTTGACAGGTTCTATCATCATGGGGATCCCAACTTTATTACCCTCTAACAGGGGGTATTCACAATACCCTCTTCGCCTGAGTAAAATGCCCTGTCATTGTACATACAGCTGTATTTGGACCAGTTCTCACCCTCTGATACAGCTTTAATGACCGGGCGGCGGTGGTAGCACTAAAACGCCCTGTCATCATCGGCTACTATAGCTGTATTTGCCAGTCCTCATCCTAGATACAGGGCGGCGGTCGAAGCACCTTAACAGCAACAAAACTGCAATTACGTTACCGTTACGTCCATTTGTGAAAAAACGTCCTCCTACCAAAAACCAGAAAAAAGAGGAAAGTCTATACTCTCCAAACTAGGTCCTATTCAATGTTCATGTAATTCTGGCCCTCACTTTAATACAGATCATATGGGTCTGATACATTCAAAATATTTGATTAGTCCACATGTACCTGGTCTAGGCAGCAGTCCAGATACTCGTTGAATATTCAACTGCATACTGGATCAAAAAAGGTAACGAAAACCACCTCTCCAAACTAGTGCGTCCTATTCATGTGATTCTTGGACCTCTCTCCACTCCACAGAATACTACATGTACCTGGAACTGCAAGTTCCTATCCATTTCAGAATATTTGACAAGTCTCGGTTCACAAATTTTGACAAAAAGAAGACTTAAAAAGGGTAGTAGCTAAAGGGAAAACACACAACTGGCAGTGCCACTGGCGCATGGGGGGGGGGCAGACCTGGACCACACGTCATAGTTATTTTATTTTATTTTATTTTTGTCCACGTTGCTGCAGAGGTCTAGATACATGCGCGTGCAATGAGTTTTAATTTAGGCAGCTACCTGAAAAATGAAAATGGTTCTCRAAAAAAAAAAAAAAAAAAAAAAAATGGTAAGCTTATCAAAAAAAAAAARAAAAAAAAAGAGGAAGGTAAGCTTGACCAAGGGGCCTAGCGCAGTTGGTACACCCAATGCATGAAGTACTGAAATTTAGACCCGAGTTCGAATCCAGATACTGTCAGTGGAACGGATTGAAATTTAAAACCATTCGGAATCACCTGGGGCCGCCGGCCGAGTTCAATGATAAAACCTCAAGGCCGTCACTCTTGAGAAAAAAAAAAAGGCAAGTTTGTACAGCAAGCCCTGGGACGAGGCCCCACTAGCAAAGAGGGTTGGATAAATATCCTGACTCTGGACGTGTTTTAAGCAGAGATGCAGAAAAGCAGTTCAATCTCGAAAGTCTGCACCTTTCCACAAACAAGTCCAGATTCAGGTGTTCAATTCAATCCTCATTGCTAGTGGGACCTGTTCCCTGAGGTAGAGCACTTGTCAGAAAAGTGCATTCACACAAGTCGACTTTCAGTACGTATAGGGTCCAGAAAGTGTCCAAATGCATGA